GAGAGAGAGAGAGATGGAAACAGCGATGTGAGAGAGACATCAGCTGGTTGCCTCATGCTCGAGTCTCCCACAACAATCAGGGCTGGGAATCGAACCTGCAGCCTAGATACGTGTCCTTAGCCAGAATCCAACCCAGAGCCCTTCAGTTGAGGCCAAAGCTCTAACCACTGAACAAAAACAGTTAGGGAAATAAATAAAATTTTTTAAAAAGCCTTGCAAAACAAATCAGTTATTCCATCATTAAATGGAAAGATATATTAACATTTGAAAATTACATTCATAAACTATTAATCAATGTTTTTCCATTTGTGAAACACCTCGTTTTGTATTTAACTACTATTTTGTATGAGCTAACCCTGCCTCCACCCCTTCCTTAGAAACAATGGATGGGCCCATCATGGGCACTTCACATGAGCTGGGCTGATTACAGTCCTTTCTCCAGATGCCACTCCTGATTAAAGATTTTTGGTCCAGTGACAGGTACCTTGCCCAGCTGAATAAATTATGGTACTTTCTTGAGAATTTTTCTTTCTTTTCTCACTACCATCCCCTAATTTAAGTCCTAATCACCATGCACCTAGATACTGCAAAAGCCTCCTAACTCTGTCTCGGTCTCAAAACTATTCTGTCTTCAATTCATACCTTACATTACAACCAGGTACATCATTCTATAACACGGATGAGATTCACTCAACTCTAAGACCCTTCAGAGAGCTCTCACTGCCTGAAGAAAACATTCAAATGCCTTTCTATTGGCTTTGAAAGCCCTTTTTCAAACTGGCTCACCCTTCCAATCCTGTCACTCCCTACATTGCCCCACACTTCAGAAGGAAACACCAAGCACCATGCATCTCTACATCTGTCCTCACATTGTTCCTGTGGTCTCATATGTCCTACACAATGTTCTTTGTCTATTATAATGTCCCTGTTCTTTTATTATTTTTTTAAATATATCTTTACTGATTTCAGAGAGAGAGAGGGAGAGAGAGAGATAGAAACATCAAGGATGAGAGTGTCATCATTGATCAGCTGCCTCCTGCACGCCCCAACTGGGGTTTGAGCCTCCAACCCAGGCATGTGCCCTGAGTGGGAATCGAATCACAATCTCCTGGATCCTTGGTCAATGCTCAACCACTGAGCCATGCCACGCAGGGCACCCCTCTTCCTTTAAGATCCAGTTCACATGATGCATCCCCTGGGAAGCCTTCTCTGAGCCTTGGTGCTAACAGCTCCCTCCTCTACACTCCTGGCACACTTCACATGATAGCTGTGCTCATGTCTGTGGGCTCCCACAAAACTGAGCTCCCTGAGGGCTCTCTCATAGTCTTGCTCATCTCTGTGTTCCCTGTGAAGCCTATCACAGCGCCTGAGAAAGAAAGCTCTGTAATTTCCAAATGGAATTCAACTGCTTTGGGAAAGGAGGGGTGGGTCTTTCAGGGTCCCTCACACCACAGCATTCAGGTCCCCATATTCTTCAACTGGGCACAAGGCTGGCCCTCAGACCAGACCATCAACTATGTTTCTGAGGAAGTTCAAAACGCCATCCCTTCAGTACTGGCCTCTAGGGAAAAAATACAAAAAGAGTGTATTACCTTCTGTAGGAGGATGTGAATGGTTCTGCTTTCTGTCCACAGATAAAGCTAGAAAAATATTCAGAGAAAAGTAGGTGAAATCAATTTTAGGCACTTAAATAAAGGAAGCCACTATTTCTCCACAAAAACTTATATAGGACATGATAGAAAATCAATTAACCAAAACTAAATTACATTAAAAGCCTTGCAAGACAGCCCTGGCTCAGTGGCTCGGTTGGTTGGAGCATCCTCCCATACTCCGAAAGGCNACCACTATTTCTCCACAAAAACTTATATAGGACATGATAGAAAAATCAATTAACCAAAACTAAATTACATTAAAAGCCTTGCAAGACAGCCCTGGCTCAGTGGCTCGGTTGGTTGGAGCATCCTCCCATACTCCGAAAGGCTGCAGGTTTGATTCCCAGTTAGGGCGCACACCTAGATTGCAGGCTCAATCCCCCATCCGGGCACCTATGAGAAGCAACTGACTCATGTTTTTCTCNTGATAGAAAATCAATTAACCAAAACTAAATTACATTAAAAGCCTTGCAAGACAGCCCTGGCTCAGTGGCTCGGTTGGTTGGAGCATCCTCCCATACTCCGAAAGGCTGCAGGTTTGATTCCCAGTTAGGGCGCACACCTAGATTGCAGGCTCAATCCCCCATCCGAGCACCTATGAGAAGCAACTGACTCATGTTTTTCTCTCACGTTGATGTTACTCTCTCTTTCCTTTCCTCTCTCTCTAAAATCAATGGGAATATATCCTCAAGTGAGGATTAAATTAATTAATTAAAAATTTTTCTAATCCTCACCTGAGGTTACTTTTTCCGTTGCTTTTCAGAGAGAGTGGGAGGGGAGAGAGAGAGAGATGGAAACAGCGATGTGAGAGAGACATCAGCTGGTTGCCTCATGCTCGAGTCTCCCACAACAATCAGGGCTGGGAATCGAACCTGCAGCCTAGATACATGTCCTTAGCCAGAATCCAACCCAGGGCCCTTCAGTTGAGGCCAAAGCTCTAACCACTGAACAAAAACAGTTAGGGAAATAAATAAAATTGTTTAAAAAGCCTTGCAAAACAAATCAGTTATTCCATCATTAAATGGAAAGATATATTAACATTTGAAAATTACATTCATAAACTATTAATCAATGTTTTTCCATTTGTGAAACACCTCGTTTTGTATTTAACTACTATTTTGTATGAGCTAACCCTGCCTCCACCCCTTCCTTAGAAACAATGGATGGGCCCATCATGGGCACCTCACATGAGCTGGGCTGATTACAGTCCTTTCTCCAGATGCCACTCCTGATTAAAGATTTTTGGTCCAGTGACAGGTACCTTGCCCAGCTGAATAAATTATGGTACTTTCTTGAGAATTTTGCAACCAGAACTGAGAATAGTTCATTCTTCTGCCCCATTTTTCCGACTCTGGTGGTTAATTTTATATCAACTTTGCCCAGCCACAGTTCCCAGATATTGAGTCAAACAATATTCTAGATGTTTCTGTGAAGACATTTTTTTTTAGATGAGATTGACATTTAAATCAGTAGACACTGAGTGAAGCAAATTAGTCTTCATAATGAGGGTGGGCCTCATCCAACAGTCGAAGGCCTTAATAAAAAAAAGACTGACCTGACCTCCTGGGAAAGGGAATTTTGCCCGCAGACTGCCTTCAAACTTGAACTCCGACTCTTTCCTGGGTCTCCAGGCTGCTGGCCCACCCTGCAGATTTTGGAGTTGCCAAGCTTCTATAATCATGTGAGTCAACTTCTTAAAACAAATCTTTCTTTCTCTCTCTTTCCACATACACACATGCGTGCACACACACGCACAAGCATACACACACACACACACACAACCCTGCTGTTCTGTTTCTCTGAGAAACCCAGACTATTACATCTACCTTGGGAAGAAGAAAACAGAAGCAGAGTGGTGGGGAGAAGAGAGGGGTCGGGGAGAGATGACAGTCTTCACCTAGCTCAAATGTCTAATTCATAGTTCCAAGACCCCCATGCATTCCTTCCTTTCGGTTTTACAGAGTTCCTGATAATCAAAGTAATGCTAATCTACGTCAAGTTTGATTTCTGAAAGTCAAACTTGTAGTATTGTTTTTTAAAAACAACACAGATTTTTTAAAATATGTCTTATGGTTTAAGGGCCTAAAAAAGTTCTTCCTGTGAGTTTAACCATTCAATAAGCATTTATCAGTCCTTAGTTTATAAAAATATACTCTTGCTCCCCATTCTAATTTTGCACCCAGTTCTACCACATTTAAAAATAAACAAAAAAATTCAGCAAAGATCTTAGAAATGAGCTACAAACAAGCCTCTGAAATAATCTGGCTTTTCTAGGCAACTGTAATTTGTTTGGGATAGAAGGAAGGCAATGAATGAGATTCTAACTATTACATTTAGTTGATATTAGGCTCAAGAATCTATTTCAGAAATAGATAAAAAGTCAGAGCTGACCTTGTAGGGCTTACCCAGATCAAGCTATGACTTAGATGTTCTAGATTCCAGAGCTCTAAAATTCATAGCACGAAACAGAGCTTAGCCTTTCCAGATCTCTCCCATCCTACCACAGCCAGCTTCCGAGGGCTCTGGGGTCTGTCAGTTTTTTGCATTGTCCAATTCACCACCAACCAAGACTATGTGTTTGTAATGGAAGAAAATTTAGGATGTGGGTACTTTTGATTATGGTATTGTTGGAGTTTCCATTTGGAAGCATCAAGAGGAAAATTTAAAGTTTTATTAGGAATAAGGGGTGTAAGTAAGGTGGGGTAGGAATACTAGAAAAGAGAAAAGGATCTGCAAACATTTCCATAACGGGGCAAGAAGTAAACATTTGAGGCTTTTCAGTCTATACGGGCTCTGTTGTAAGTATTCATCTCTGCTGTTGCCTCAAGAAAGCAGCCACATATAATGCTTAAACAAACTGGAGTGGTCTTGTTCCAATAAAATTTTATTTACATTTTTTGTTGGTAAAAAACATCTTATTTTTTTAATTTAAAAGTTTTAATGTTGACATAATTTTAGGTGTCCCCTTTCCCCCCACCCTCTGTGGCTGGCTAGATTTTGCCCATGGGTCATAGTTTGCTCACTCTTGATTTAAAGTATGGTGTTTTGTTCATTCTAATTCCTTGCATTTACCACAATTTAAAACAATAAACATCTGTTGAGTATTCTATTTTCTTCTACTTACTTTGCCTTTTAAAAATAAACTAAATCTCTACTAACAACTGCAAATTCTTCCTCAAGTTAAATAAGTTTCTTACTTTTTTTTACCATAA